CAACTCCCAGAATTTCCCAGCCAGCCATGCTGGCTGAGGAATTCTGGGAGTTGAAGTCCACTCAAAGTGGCCAAGTTTGGACAACACTGATCTAGTCCAACCCTCTTCCTGGTGCAGGAATCCACTATTTCAAAAGCCCCGACAGCCATCCAACCTTTGCCTAAACACCTCCACAAGGAAGCATCCACCGTCTCCTGAGGCAATGTATTCCACTGCTGAAGAGATCTTTTTGCTAGGAAAGTTTTCCTGTTATCTGTCCCAAACAAACTTCTTTGGAAGTTAAACCCCTTGTTTCTTGTCTTGACTTCTGGAACCTCTCTGAACAATTCTGCCCCATCTTTCTATGGGGCAGCCCTTCAGATACTTGAACACAGCTCTTACATGTTCCTGAAGTCTTTTCCGGGCTAAACAAATCCAACTCCTCCAACAGTTTCTTGTAAGTTTATGCTCCAGACGTGCTCCAGTTTGTCTGTGGGTTTCATAAAATGTGCCCAAGCCCAGACATGCTAATTTAGGTGTGGCTTGACCAATGCAGAACATCGACACTGTTGTCAATGTCCTAGTAGTCCAATTCCCTGCTTAGTGCAGAAGATCCGAAATGAGTCCATGGAAAGTAGCTGTCCTTTAGAGCAGGGATGTCTCTGTCTTTGCCCACTTCCACGGGATAGTCCTTCAGGAGCTTGCAGGCAGGGTTCATAGGTCATGCTAAGCTAGAATGGAGCTGAATTGGTTTTGATTAAGCAAATATGTAAACACAGCCATGGTGTTTGTAAATTCTGGTTTATGGCTGGGGTGAATAAATTCCATGTGTCCAGGAGATACACTTTGATTTTTCAGGGGCTGTAGAGGCATGGCCAATGAGGTCATAAGGTTACCAGATTGAGCAGGGTTAATTTTCAAACTTTTGGAGAGATTTAATGCCCCAATTTCGCTCCTTAAAACTACCCCCCTCCAAAAAATCAGGAAAATGACTCTGATATTTGTGGAGTTGGAAGACACACATTTACTCTGCATTCCTGCAGCCTCCCCCAAACAGCAAACACCAGAAAAATGGGCCCCCAAATTTGGCCCCATCTGCTCCAGGTGATCTTGGGATTGCTAACTGGGCGCTAGAGGACCTCGAACCATCTGCAGGCTGGAGGCTGCCTGCTTCTGGTCAATGGCAGCAGGATGGCTAACTCCAGCCAGGTTCTACTTTAACAAACTATAGCTTAGTAAACTTGGTTTAGCATAACGTGTGCACGCAGACATAGAGTGTTTTCATTCTTCTGGCACTTGATTGCCATAATTTTTCCAAACCTTTTCATTGCCTTCATCTGAAACTGCTCCAGTTGATTTATTTCCTTCAGAAGCGTTAGCCTCTATGACTGGATACCGTCCTCTGCATGGGGTCTAACACAGCAGGAGAAATTAGATGACTGGTAGAAAATATTATTTTAGGAGACAGACATGACCTCTTTCAAGGTCTTCTTAAAATTCTTCTTCCTAGCTTTTAATACCATCTCTGAGTACGTTTTCAAATTTTCCTGGAATCTGGTGTCGTAGAAAACAGTTTAGTATGAATCCAGAGCAGCTGTCCATTCCCTCTTTGCGTGCAAAGGTTTCGCAGCCAGTCAGTATCAACGAGACTAAGCCAGGTGGACCAAAAATTCCTCTGCTGTTTCGCATTTTTATTTTGTAAGCCATCTTTGAGGAGATTGGGGTTTAAAAGATGATAGGAGAGGGATGAAATGCATAAAATGGATCCTTGTAAGACTCGTAAATTACGCTTCTGTTAACACAGTCTGACATCATATTAGCCTTTCTTTTACAGCCTTGTCACTCCACGTAAACACTTTCTCTGTTATTCGTATCTCTCCCTCTCCTTCCCACTGCAGAATCTCTCGACAAAATCCCGCAAAGTGTTCCAGATTTTCCGGCAGTGGGAAGCAGCCTGTTCCTCCTGAAGACCTGGGCCTTCAGACAGCATCAGGACGCCGCAGAACTTTTCCCTTTCTGTTAGCAGAAGGGGCAGAGAGTCGGAGAGGTGCCCAGGGAAAAACATACTTACCGTCTAGCCAAGCTGCCGTGGCAAGACTTGCCTTCCACCCACATTCATAGTCAGACGCATGGGCAATGCCAGTATCACACGGAAGATGTCTGCACTGCCAGCACTGAAAAATACTTCCTTCTCCTTTGGGGATGTGCAGGGATAGGTCAGCGTTTCTGGAACCATCGCACTGGTGCCCAGTCGCCTGGAGAAACAAGCCCCAGAACATTGAGAAACCCCTTGTTTACCCTGAGCTGGACCCGTTCTGCAACAAGACGGGCAAGGGCAACTTCCCACGTGGCATCCTTTGTTCATCCTTGCCACAGAGTTGCATTTGGTTTTGCTTACTTCCTCCTGCCCCTCCACAAGGAAGTCTGGGGCCTGTGGAATTGGGGAGGGCTTTGGGGACCCGATCAGACATTCTCAGCACCAGCACCAATCCCAGTCCTGGCATTCCACCGGGGCCAGACGGCCCTGTTACGTACATCGAATGGAAACGTTTGCGATGACCACGCAGGACTCATTTTGAACCAAAACCTGGCCCGCTTGCACCACCTTGGGGGAACTGGGATGATAATAAAACACTTGTTTTTTGGCTTCTTATTTCTACATGCACACACCAAAAAAAAAAAGACTGCACAGAATTCAGTATGACGGTATGTGGTCTCTCCTCTGGGGAGGAAATTCACGTTCCTTCCCAGTTTTGTACTTTGAAATCTCAAGAACTGTCTTTCCCCTGGAGACATATACCGTAGGAAAGTTGGGAAGGGCTTGCCTTAAACGTTAAGTTGTGTCTGTTAAAAACCACCTAAACATCCGTGGTGGGATCCGGTGCTGTAGATGCAGTGGTGAGAACTGTTTCACTGTTGGACAGCCTGCCTGCCTAATGCTTAGATGTACTCCTTCATTAAGAAAGCCCACATTCTGATGTTTTGTGCAGTATTTGTACAAAATAAACAAACAACAGAATTCAGGTGTGTTTATTTTATTTTCCTTTTCATGATGTGGATCCCACCTTTCTCCCAAGAGCTGTGAGGCAGGCTAGGCAGAGAGGAGGACTCTCCCAAAGTCATCCAGTGGCTGAGGATAGACCTGGACCGAGGTCTCCCTAGTCTTAGCCCAACACCTTCAGCACCGTACCACAGTGGCTGCCTCATGCCAGGATAGGAATGATGAGGAAAGGGTTGAAAACCAAAACCAAGCATTTCAAAGTCTTTGTGTTGACTTCTTGCGAAGCTGTCAGTGGTCTACAGTGTGAAGAGGGAAGAGTCCCAATTTTAAAGAGAGTTTCAGAAGACCCAATCTAGTATTGGGATTGGAACTCCCAGAATTCTGAGCCAGCATGGCCAAGGAGCTTGACACTATAGTCCTTGTAGATGGACTTCTAGTGCAGAAGAAGGGAGGTGTGTGCTGCTGAGTACCCATCCAGTCCTAGAGGAAGCAGCCTTGGTGTCCAGCTATTCTGGTCCCCTGCTTAGTAAAGAAGATCCTACATTTTCTCACCCAGTTCTGCTTGGACCTCCAAAGAGGGAGAGCTCTGGGCAAAAGACAACCAGTTAGGGTTGTTGTAGAAACCCAGCAATTGTGCTTAGGACGAGAAGCAAGGGAGTGAAATTGCCAAGAACTAAACGTCTGGTGGACATCAGGAAAAACTTCTTAACAGTAATGCCATTCACCAATGGAACAGGGGGCCTTGGAAGGGGGCGGTGGACTTGCCAAACAAAGTGGCCAGTTGTGTGCTTTGCAGACTCTAAAAGTAGGTTAATTTAGCAATGTGACAGAATTTGTCATTGGCACAATGATGTCAAGATGTGGCATGTGATGCCACCCCCCTTCCCTCAGTGTCCACATCTGGTGGAATTTTGGCTGGTCTGTGGTAGACCAGAAAGGTTTTAAGAGTGCATAGAAAATTGCTTTCTCAAATGTCTGAAACTCAAAAGTTCTTACATCTGGGATGGCAAGGGAAGTAAATCCGTATGCAAGCACCAGTTAGGCCTCCCAAAACAAACCCCTACCCTGAACTTCCATTTGGAGGCTTCTTTTCCCACAATTCTAGGACCACGTTTGCACACCACATTAAGCCAGAGTTGCCAAGTTAATAAACTGGCTGGGTGTGCCCATCGATCAGCCACAGTTGCTAAGCCTCATGGCTGGGTTTCTACAACAACCTGATCCAACAGCAAAACAACCCCAACATGCCTTAAGCCTCTTGTGTCAAGCCAACTTTTGACCTTCAGCTTGCCTTGAAAGCAACAATTCCCCTTATCTATAAACTGTAGGAGGAGAGCTGTGTTAGTTTATGCTGGCAAAAAAAACAGGTGCCTGGTAAACCTACACCTTTTAATAATGTGTTAGTTGGATGAGATGCTACCAAACTTCATTTTTTTGGTCATATCTGTAACCTGAAGACAAAGCCCACATCCTGCTCTGATTTGCAGCCCACTAGAGCAGTGTGTCTCAATCTCAGCAACTTTAAGATGTGTGGACTTCAGGTATACCTCAACTATGAGAGACAAAATGAGAAAAAAAATCCAGAAAATCACATTGTCTGATTTTTAAAGAATTTATTTGCAAATCATGGTGGAAAATAAGTATTTGGTCACCTATCACATTGTCTGATTTTTAAAGAATTTATTTGCAAATCATGGTGGAAAATAAGTATTTGGTCACCTATCACATTGTCTGATTTTTAAAGAATTTATTTGCAAATCATGGTGGAAAATAAGTATTTGGTCACCTATCACATTGTCTGATTTTTAAAGAATTTATTTGCAAATCATGGTGGAAAATAAGTATTTGGTCACCTATCACATTGTCTGATTTTTAAAGAATTTATTTGCAAATCATGGTGGAAAATAAGTATTTGGTCACCTATCACATTGTCTGATTTTTAAAGAATTTATTTGCAAATCATGGTGGAAAATAAGTATTTGGTCACCTATCACATTGTCTGATTTTTAAAGAATTTATTTGCAAATCATGGTGGAAAATAAGTATTTGGTCACCTATCACATTGTCTGATTTTTAAAGAATTTATTTGCAAATCATGGTGGAAAATAAGTATTTGGTCACCTATCACATTGTCTGATTTTTAAAGAATTTATTTGCAAATCATGGTGGAAAATAAGTATTTGGTCACCTATCACATTGTCTGATTTTTAAAGAATTTATTTGCAAATCATGGTGGAAAATAAGTATTTGGTCACCTATCACATTGTCTGATTTTTAAAGAATTTATTTGCAAATCATGGTGGAAAATAAGTATTTGGTCACCTATACCTATGATGAAAATTACAGGCCTCTCTCATCTTTTTAAGTGGGAGAACTTGCACAATTGGTGGCTGACTAAATACTTTTTTGCCCCACTGTATCTTACAGGGAAGACAGCCTTGATGGATGCAGCACCAACACACGTGAGTTATTTTCCTTCTCTCAGTAACACAGCATTTCTTTCCAAGGGAGAGGGATTTCAGCGTCTTTCCATCTTCTTCACTTCCCCAGGAGAAAATTGCAATAAATTTGATACTCTTCTCAAAATGGGTCACATTCCTTAGAAGGAGAAACAGCTTAGAAAGATACCTGCATGTTCCTCAATGATGTGAAGACTTAGTTCTCTGGAGAAGGCTCTGATGCTGGGAAAGATGGAAGGAAAGACAAGAAGAGGATGACCAGCAGTCAGGGAGATGGACTCAATTACAGAGGTGATGGGGGCACCGTTGGAAGAGCTGAACAGCCAGGTTGTGACTGGAGAAGTCTATCTACTGTATGTGGTTTCTAAGAGTTGACGGTGACTTTACGGTACATAATGAATCAATGTGAAGTTCAAGTTCCTTTGAAAAATCCATAATGTTGAGAAAAGTGGAAGGAAAGAGGAGAAGAGGATGACCAGCACCAAGGGGGATAGACAATTACAGTGGTGATGGGTGCACCAGTAGAAGACTTGGACCAGATTGGGGACAGATCCTCCTGAAGAAAATCTATCTATGTGGTTGCTAAGAGTCAACAATGACTTAATGGCACATAATCAATCAACATGAAGACCCAGCTCTCTGGAGAAGGTTCTGATGCTGGGAAAGGTGGAAGGCAAGAGAAGAGGACGACCAGCAGCCAGGTGGAGGGACTCAGTTACAGCAGCCATGGAGGCCTGTTGGAAGACCTGAAGGACCAGTCTGGGGAGATCCTACTGAAGAAAATTTATCTGTGTGATTGCTAAGAGTCAACAACGACTTAATGGCACATAGTCAAAGGGTTTGCACAATATGGTACATTACATTAAAATGGGGTTGGTAGTACAGGCTGTTATAGGAACCCAATATGATCTTAAAGTGGTGTGTGACATGAACTAGCCCATCCATAAACTACCTGGATGTGTCCATGAAGTCATCAAGATGGATCCAAAGAAGATTTTATCTACCTATACCATCTACCTATTTTTTGACTAATCTTGAAAAGTTAAGCAGAGTTGGACCTTATTAGTACTTGGGAGGGTCAACACATCCCAGAATAAAGCAGTGGGAAATCACTTCCATATTATTGCAAGACCTGGATGTGTGCATGAAGCCACAGGAGTGAAGGGAGCTTTACCTTAAAGATACATGGTTTTCCATGCTTGATTGGCTGGGTTAATCCAATACATGGAGCCATAAACCCATGGCTGTGATTGGGCTTGCACAGTCAAGACTTGTTTTATTTTGAGGATTGTGTGAACCTAATGATTTTGTAACCACAAATAAGCCAATTAAACTTTTTGGGAGCAGGATGGAGATATTTTACTGCTACTGAAGCACTGAGCAGTATGTTGAAATATCTTTGAGGAAACAAGGTTAGGCTGTATTCCCACAACCAGGGACATCCACAGAGAGGGGTTGAAAAAATCAAGAAGGTAGCTTTGATCATGCGGTCATGGCTGCCATCTTGACTTTTTTGACCATCTCTGCAAACGCCCCTGAGCACAGCCCTCTCTCTCAGCAAAACATCCATTCCGTTCCTGTCTTTTTACATAAGAAAGTATGACAAGGCTCTCAATTTGTTTGCTTGCTTCTTTTTTTTAATTAATCTTTTTAAAAATTTATTTAACAGATTTATACGGCCACCCATCTTATACAATATCATCCCTGGCCACATAAATCTGTTAAATAAATAAAGTGCCACCCCCACCACAATCCCACCCCTCTTGGAGGCTCACCAGACAAAGAAATACAATAAAATAAAACAGCACAAAAATAACGCAAAGACAACCCTGCACAATACATGGCGTCAAACCCCCAAATTATACTTGAATCATGTATTTCTGTGTTCAGAGGGGGAACATTCCTTAAGCGGTGTGCTTGTGTATCCCCTGGGCTTTGCACTTGGAAAAGCAGAATGAAGTGGGGTAACCCTGGTTAAAGTAAGTCCTGCAAAGTTTAGACAGGGCAGAAAACAGGAGCTAGAGTCCTTCAAGGTGACGTTTGGTGCTTCCTCTGGGGGGGTCCCCCTTGGCCTGTGGTCCCAGCTGGTCCGAGGGCTCTTGTTCCCATCCACACTATGCTAATACTCACCCTCCCCAATTAGCACCTCAGAAAGATGCAAACTTATTTATTTATTTATATTTATTGTTAAACTTGTATGCCGCCCATCTCCCCCAACGGGTGACTCTG